AGGAGAAAAATAAAAACGTTCCTTTTAGTTTTGGAAATTTAAAGGGGGGGGGGGGGGAAAGCTAGAGCCATAACTTCTAATCAACCTGTACTATCATCTGGGGATATCTGATGTGTCTTTGCTGCATGACCAGATAATCTGTCTAGGAACAGGATCTGGTGATACGAAGAAGCTTTAAATGTGATGTAAGCTGATTAACTGTGCTGTTAATGCCAAACATGATCTTCTGAAGTGCCCAAGCACAACTTAACATATTGTTAATGCCGCAATCTCAGAAAGGATCCAAAAACTGAACAAAATTATATTAAATCTAAATTAAATGCCTGTTCTATACCAATCTTTTTAATGCAATTTTCTCTTTTGGTGTTAAGATCAAGCATGTTGCAAACATGGATTGTTGTGCTGATTTGAAACTTAATGCCTGCGAGTAAACTTTTAGATCTGCATGAGGGCTTAGCTTTTTTCTGCAAGCTGTGTTACTGTGACTTCTGTAGTATTTTCTTGGCTTATTATGATGTTTTTAACCAAGCTAAATTTGAGCCTGTACATGGACATGTTAGTAAAAAGAAAATTATTTGCTTTTAGTTACTTTTTTTGACTATTTTCTTCTGTAGACTAAACACAAAGTTAGTAAAAGTTTTTGCATCGCTCTTTTTAAGGTAGCATGTTCGAAGTTAGGGCAGTACACGTTCTCTGTGTTCTTGGGGAAAAAATAATGATGGAATGCAAATTACTTTATACCTGTTTGGAAAATGAAAGGACTTTTATTTGTATTGTTTTGTGAAAAGCAGTCATGACCAAACTTAAGTGACTAACCAGACTACTAACCAGACTAGCATATATATTTCAAATGCTTGACACAAAGGACACAAACTAAAAGAAAAATCAAAACTGTTAGATAGCTTGAGAACGCTTTTATTAAAAATGTGACTGTAAGTCTTTTTTAAGAATTTTTTTTTTTTTAATAGTTGGCCAGCAGGCTGCTTTTTACCATTCCAGTGGATATGAAATGCTAATAATGCATTCTGTCTTGAGTGGTGCAATGAGAGAGTTCAGTAGAAACCAGAAATGTAAATATTTGCTTGCCTATATGACTTCTGACTTATATGTTAAGATGGTTACTAGCACACATAGACACTTATTACTGCTAAAATCTCAAAAATTGGATGTTTTAAAAAAATTATCTTATAAATTAAGATGGGCATTTTCTTAAATACTTATCCATAAGTATAATGTTACATTTGGCTGTTCATTCTTAGGTTAAGGTTGAGCTCTCTATAGCCCAAAGTAAATATAATGAGATCTTCTTGGACCATACCTTACATATTTGTTTTCTTGTTTGAAGATTGTGTGTGGGATTTCTTTCTGATCAACTTTTGTATTTTTTTTGAATAAAAACCATCTAACTCGAGCAAAATTGGGATATCCAGATGGTGGTACAGATAATATCCCTCTGACTCAACATGTCTGAATTCTCATTTGGAGTAGCAGTGCTACATATTGTTGAAATATAGAGCTTGAAATGGTATCGTCTTAAGCTTGGTTCTTTCTTAGGTCTGCCTTTGACCAGTGGAGAATTGAATTTGGAATTCAACCTTCATATGCTTTAAGGACAAATAATTCCAGGGTTAGCCTTGATGCATGTGTCTGGGTTTGCTTAAAAATACAATAGGAAAAAAGCCTTGGTAGAATGAGGTAGGAAAGGTATATTGCCAAAGTTGGAAGAGGAAGGTAAGATAGTCTTTTGACTGGTACGTAAGATGAGATGTCTTATTTGTTAAGCTTTCGGATAAATTTCAGTGGCAGCCATAGACATAGTGCAGGATGCATAAAGACTAGCATGTTTAGTGGTCTTGTTACTGGTTTCATGTAGCAGTGTCTCCTTTTCTGACTGACTTAGCCTTCTGACTGACTTAGCCTTCTGACTGACTTAGCCTTCTGACTGAAATAACAATAAAAAGCACCTGTAACCTCTAAATCTGGCATCTTTTTGTTTAAAGGTAGCTTGCATTGTAGAAACCTAATTGGTAGAGCTTTTCTTTCCCTGTGCTTGCTAGTCATCCAAAGGCATGGATTACCCACCTTCAGCATGCTGCTTTCTTGCATAATATTCAAGACACTGAAGGTCTTGGTGTAGGTGACCTCTAAAATAGTTCGTTGACTTCATAGTCGTAGTTATTAAATCACTCCCCACGTGACTTGTCAGATAGTTGTCCAGTACTGCTTATTCAAATCTGTAAAATGAGAATGAGTTTGCTGCACTGTGCAGCATGAGACCTGCTTTCCTCCTACAGTGCTTCAGACTGTAAACTGAAGTCTTTGGATTTTTTGATCTACTTTTGAGCTTCTGCCTTGCTACAAAATTCATCCCTCTCTCAAAACTGTTGCCCTCAGTTATGCAGAAACGTGATGTTGCTTCTTTCCTGTTGGATGAAAACGTAGTGTTGTTGGAAATACTCCATGCCCATGACGATAATGAGAGAGCTTTCTTTCTACAGATTTGTGGAGATAAAGGCTCACAACTCTGACGTCTGTGCAAATGGTTGTTAGAAGCAAAGTGAGTTAGTTCAAGACTGTTTCTGGACTACAACATACGTTCCGGTGGAGTGTGACTGTTTCATGTTCATTTATTCTTGTGACTGCATCTGTCACAAAATGTGCGCATACAGACTTACTTTTTCTAAAGTTTCAGGAATACAGTTACACTGTGCTATGCATTCCAAGCTGGAATAGAGCAGAAAGTTTTGTCTTGGTTAATATCTCACTCTTAGTTCTTTGGTTCTGCTTACAGGCTCTTCAAAGGTATACATGTGGTCCTGATGTTTACTGCTTTGGGAGACAGGAAACTTGAAAACAGTTTTCAGAATAGCAAAGATTATAATGATGCTCTCTGTTTATGCATGTGACTTTGTTTTCCCTTTTTTTTCGAAGAGCAGCAAACTCAAGGTTGTTGACACAGAGAACAGTAAAAACGTACCCATGATTTCTTCCCTAAAGGTTGGCTTGCATGTCATTAAAAATTCCATTTGCTTTGTTTCAGTTAAATGCAGTGAGCCAGTTTTGCCTTATTCTGCTTTAATCTTCACATTTTGTGACACTTCAGTTCCTTTCCTTTACTCTCAAAAACCTCTCTAAAGAGACTTGATGCTTTTCAAGCATCAACCAAAAGCCCGTGTTTTTCTTTCTAAAAGATGTTAAAAATAGTGTAAATCAGGGATTGACTTGCAAATTAAGTTGTTCAGTTCTGGCAGCAGAATCTGAGTTTACAATTACAAGTCTCCAAAGTAGTAGAAGCTTTCTTCCTCTTGAAATGAAAGTGTTTTCCAGTTGTGAACGAATTGCAGCTTTGCTACAAAACTTAGCCATTTTTCACCAGAGAGGCAAAGAACCCCATGTTTCTGCTTTCTCTCAGAACCTACACATTTCAGTGATAGCTTTTGCCTTTATAATTAATTACAGCCTTTGATCAGTAATGCTTGAACTGAAGTCTAGCCCCTGATGCATTCTTCAGTGCTCCTCTTCCCTTTGCAGGTCTTTCATGTTGAGACATTGTGTGACTGGTGAAAGCAAGACTCTCTTTTTTTTTGTTGGGTGGAAAAAAGAACTCTTTTTTTTTTTTTTTTTTTTTTTTTTTTTCTTTCTTTCCCCTGTTGGGCAACCCGGTGCTGCTATTCCTGGTGTCGCATAACATGGCTCCAGCCTTCTTTGTTAGTCTCTGGGGAAGAAACTGTACTCTCACCCAGATAAGAAACCTGACATAGGTATAAGTCTTGCGAGTAAGATATCCTCCAACCATGTCTATATAATGTGTAAACTGTATCTTTCTGCTTTGAGAAGGGATAGAAGTGTAGTTGAAGTTAGGAGAAAGAGAACCACAACTAGAGAGCAGCTACCTAGGAGCACTATATGAAGAAAAAGAAGTTAAAGCACTTAATTAATGTTTCAGGAAAAGCAAGAAATCAAGGCATCTGTAGCTATATAGTTAAGCCCTGGAACTTCTACAGGATATCCATCTCGCTCTAAGAGAAAGTTATAGAAAGGAAAAATACAGTAAACTGCTGAGTCACAGCAACAGGTTATTCAGTTGGTTACTCTGATCATTGAATGGGACTATTGCAAAATATGAAAACTGGTGTGGCCAGTTCTCAACAGTTGATCAGCCAGCCATCCTTGGAAGTAACAGCAGCAGCTCACCTAGACTAGGGAGTCATTTCTACCTATGCCTCCATTATTTTCTTGATGCTTGAGTTCTCCCAGTGACATTCTAAGTAATGTATGACCCTAATGAGACTATAAACTGCTGGGTATCTAGGTATAAGTGGCAGAAAATTGTTGTGTTTGAAGGTAGGATGAACTTAAGTACACTGAGTTTTTTTTGGTTTTCGCTTTTTTTTTTTTTTGAAGGCATAGACAATATCTTTTGCAGGTTTCCTTAAAACAAATCATAAAAAATAAGCTGTGTGTTTGCCAGAGGAAATAGTTTCAAGGGTGTGGATAGCCTGAGAAATGTTTAATGTATGTAAAACATATGTGTCTTGTACCTGTTAAGCTTCTGAAACCACCAAAGATGTGAATGAAGAGGGATACTGACAGAAGTTAATTTTAGCCTAGGGAGACCCATCTTTCTCAGCTCCCCTCATCCCCTGTTATGCACCACGTGGTTTTTAGGGGGTAATTCCCAATGAAAGCCTGACTTGAGGTGCCCTCAGTTATCGTTTGAAGCTCCTCTCTTACTTCCTGTAGAAGGAACCTAGGAAAGCCAACCATGTGAGGTTAAGTTTAGTTTTCTGAATAGGTGCCACAAACATCTACAAATAAAATTTGGATTTGGCAGGAGGAGGAAGAGTACAAGTCATTTTCTTGTAAGCTTTCTAAGTCATGAACCACTGTGGTGTATAGATGTGGTTTGTTAATGAATGGGAGCAGTGTATGTCTTATTGGTCATGTCAAGGTTTGTTTTCAGTTCTGAATATTAAAGGGTAAGCAGGACATAAAAGAGAGAACTTCCTAACTCCATCAACATGTTACTGTTTTCCCAAAGTTGTGATGAAACCAGAAAAAGCAAGACTACATGTCTCCTGTATAATGTTTATTTGAGTCGAAGTGAATTCTTGCAGTTAGAATCATCAGGGAAAGATGTGAATTTCTTCTGACTTTAAATTCTTGCATAACCTTGGGGATGCACCCTTACTTTGCTTTTTTTTTTTTTTTTAATTGTAGTTATGCCTTAGGCTTTAAGTAGTAATTCTCTCTGTATAGGACTGTTTGTTTTGTTAGGTGGATAAAGTATAAGCATATCACTAAAGTTTTCCAATACTAATAAACTATGTAGGCAAACTTGAAGTTTTACTGGTATAACAAAATCACAAGTCATAAACAGAACAGACTTTGCAAATGAAAAAATGGTTTTTGCTGGTGGTGGTATACTTACACAGGGGCTTAAACCAGAATACCTGTATGTCTCTGAAGAGCAGAATTCTTTTGTGCCCTCTTTCACTCACTTTCTTAAAAAGGCAGTGTCATTTCAAGCTCTGATGTATACACTTTGTTGCATTTCTGCTTTGAACTTTTTTTGTAGGCATCTTCTTGTAAGATAGTTACATGTGAAAGCCGTAAGTTCCTTTGGGTTATGATGACTCATTCACCATGCATGTAATGACTAATGTGACATTGCAGTTTATTTTAAAGAAAACAGAACAAATCCTGCACGAAGACATTTATAGCTTTTCTTCTGTCTTCTGGCAGATTCAGATATACAGTGTATGCACCGTTATGCATCTTAAAACCTCTCCTTCTTAGTCTCTTTGATCTAACTGATTCTGCTAGGGAAAAGAAAAAATCTTATTTAATAAGTCACTCCTCTAATTTTAAACTGTTTTCCTAGCTATATTAATAGCCAGATGATGCACAAACCTGAGAAGGGAAACTGCTTTGAGCCTCAAGTGCCTAATTGTCTCTTATACCTTTTTAAAAATCTCATACTTAACCGATACGCTTGCTGGATTGAACGTCTGAGTTGAAATACTTTGCATTTGAGTTGTCCAGGTTGGTAAGTGCAAAATTATCCTATATCACTCCATTTGTATCCGTACTCTTTTTGTCTGTATAGAGTATTGATGCTGCCCTAGACCTGTTAAAAAATGACAGAGGAAGGAAAAAAGAAAAAAGAGAGTGTTATAGAGGGCTGTGTGATCCCTTCAGTCCCTTTCTTTTGAGCAGGGACTGAAATGCTGGTAGCCCACCTCTCTGGTAAATCCTCTGACTATGTAACTGTCATCCCACTTGCCTCTTCCCAGAGACAGCAAAATGTACAATGGAGCGGTATCAGTGGAAGAGAATGAGGATGTTCCACTACTGTATACTTGGGAGCAGATTATGAGGGCTGGTATACTTTTTTTTTTTTTTTTCAAAGAGAGAAATTGTGAATGCCACTCCACGCTGTGCAGAGAAATGAATGTAGGGGCCTCAAACATTTTGTGCATGCCACAGCAACTGAGCATTGGGTAGAGGGATGGGACTGTGCTGTGGTGTAAGTTGTGTGGGAACAAATCTTGGGAAAGGATGTCCATTTGAATTTCCAAACAATTTGGAAAAACTGGAGATCAGTCCTCTTAAGTAAATTGAATTAATCCATTCCTAGATGGTTAAATTGGAAATAGGAATGGTAATAATTGTGAATTATGTCCACAATAGCCAGATCCTGCTTCAGGAGACCAGATTTTTCATTTCTAATGTATTAATAAATCAATAAAAACATTATGTATCAAAAAATACATTAAAACGTGCATGAAGAGTATTTTAAATAGGAAGACAAGTGCCTGTGTTAAATTATGACAGAAATGGATATTGCAAATAATGAAGGGTAATAACAATAACACGGAGGGCACAACAATATAAAACAGTAAATCGACATTGCTTTTTGCATTGCTTTCTCTTTGCACAAGAGAGAATATGACTGAATACTTAAAGTTGCTTTCAAAATCCTACCATAGGTAAGTTTTAGGCTCTCTGAAGGGGTATTTCTCCAGATTTTTAGGCAAGTATGTTGGATGCTGCTAGTAATATTTGCTGAAGTTTTAAAAAAGATAACCTTTTCTTCCCTTTCCTGTGTTTGTATTGTAACTAAGCAGGTATGCTCTTAGCGATGATCTGATTTAAGCATTTCTTTTACTGTTTAAAATCTGTATAGTTCATCCCAGAAAATCAAGTTTCCTTTGTTTTGCTGAGAACTCCACCACTGTATTGAGTAATACAGTATAGATATTTTGAGTGTTAGATGATAATATTATGAGAAGGATCAAAATATGTGTAATGTCAAACTTCACATTTACTTCCCAACTGGTGAGTGATAAGGCTTCATGACAAAGAATCTCAAGCTTGCTATCCTTTGACAGCTTATTTTAGTGTTTAAGGAAAATATTTATTGATACATTTGCCTGTGTAAGTAGTACCTTTCCAATGTGTTATGTTTTGTGATTATTTTCTTCAGAAGTTCATAAAATACACGACGTCATTTTAATATTCTAATGATCTCACATTTGACGTACATTCAGAAGACTGAACTATGGGCTTTAATGGATTCAGATACTCGGTTCTCCTGAATATATATACTCAGGGATATAAGTGAGCACAGCAAAAAGCAAGGGTTGATAACCAATGGCTTTTAAGGGGTGAAAACCTAAGTTTCTTTACACATATTGAAGAATTCAGAGGGAAAAAAGATTTTTTGGCTTTGTGATGAGTTTCTGCATAAAAATTAGTTGTCTCAGAAGTGACTGAAAATTTTAACAGAAAAGAAACAAGAAAATACAAGTCAGATTTTCTACAGAATGAAAACATTTTCTTGTCTGTTGATAAAATTTATCTTTGTCAGTACAAACTTAAGCAATATTTTTATGTTTATTCTGGAGGAAGAGTTGTAGTCATAATGAAGAGTTTGTATCACTTCACATGTATGCTTTTGCAGATACACAGTCCACTTGACTTTTATTTTTGGGTGCTTTTCCATTTACGTACTTTTAATATTATGATAGCTTTACTATCCTTTAGGTGGCTTTGGTCGATTTTATTCTGGCTTTTGGAGTTGTGACTGGACTGGTGTATGGTTGCATGAGTCCTCTTGTGAATATTCTTTAAAATAAATTAGAAGAGACATGGGAGGCAGTCATTGACACTGCACTTTCTTAGATTGTCATGATCCATTTCTCTATTAGCCTGTATCTAGGAAGGGGAAGAGTAGCTTAGATACTAAGCAAAGTGCTTGTCTTTAGAAAGTTTTGCTAAAACAGTTGACAATACAGAAAACACTTATGGAAGTCGAGAGCCTAAGTTTTCAGGAACCACGCTCCTGCCTAAGCTTCTTACGCGTGATTTATGTTTGTAGTAACTTCATTGTGAGGTGACCTGCGAAGTGAGTGATGTAGAGGTGTTACTAGCCTGCACTGTTTCTGCATTTGCTGCAGATGTGCTAATGCAAACTCTGACTGCAAAAATGTGCTGCAGATCAAGACTGTGGTATGCCTGGTGCAGCATAAAGAGCAAAAAGACAGTTCCTCCTGAAGACCAAAAGCATGAATATTCTAACTGCTGTCAGGCATGTGGTTTGGGCTTTTTTAAGCCATCTTGGCAAGGGAGAGTTTCTTAATGAGGAGTTGGCAAGAGGATTAAAAGACAGACTTCTGAAGTGTTAATAAGCTCCTGCCAAGCTTGAAAAGCAGCCGAGAAAGAATGAAAATGCTGACATTAAAGTGAGTGGTTTGAGGCTGGTGTCATAGTCCAACCAGAAATGAGAGTCATCCTCTTGATAGCCAGGAAAGGTGTTCAGTGGGGTGGGGATAGGCTGTGAGGCTCTGAAAGTGCCGATGAAGCAGCCTGTGTTCGATGTGATAAAGTTGTCTATGGAGAGACCTACAGAGAAGAATGATGCCTTCCTGCAGCATTTTTTTTCCCAAAAAATAAAAATGAGGAAAATCATGTTCCTCAAAACCAGTGAGTGGGTTTTCCACTCTGGATTTGTGGAGCCCTTAGGAGACGATTTCAAGTGGCATATGGCTGACTGTATTGTGGGCAGCTAACAAAAATGAAATCAATCATGGTTCTGTGATCTGGCAAATTCCTGTCGCTGGAGATTCTGGCAAAATAATTTCAATGCTAGTAATTATGTCAATGGTTAGTAGAAAGAGCAACAAGAAAAAGAATATCTCAGACTCTTACAGCTTGCTTTGAGTAACCTCTCTGGAGGATTTGAAACAGAACATCTTTTCTTGTCTCCTTTGACCTCCCAAAACCAAAACATAGTCCGGCCTCACCCCAACCAAAAAAGGGCACCAAAAAACCTACAAAAAACAGTCTAGGAGATTTGGGCTTCTGGAAGGCACTTAGCCATTGGACTATTGTCTCTTGACTTTTTCTTCACTGTTATATTTTTGTTTCAGGCTACTATATTTGGCTTTGTTCCAACAGAGTTTCCAATTACAGAAAGAGTTCTCTAACAAAGAATGTTTCCAGGGCTGCAGATGTTTCACTCATTACATAATACTGAGCATGGCTAACCTTTAAAGCTTGCAACTGGGGCAGTTAAGTGCATTTTATAAAGTACTTCCCTTGCTCTGAGAATAATAATTATTATTATTATTTATTATCAATTATTATTTAATTATCTCTCTATTTATTATTTAATTTTCTCTCTTGAACTATTTTCTTTGCAGCCTCTGGAGTAGTTGCCATCTTCTGTTCTGTGAAAGAACAGTTTAGGTACAACACTGATGAAACAAGATTAACCTGGTTTATTAAACGAGTGTAGTTGGACTGCTTGCTGATTATCATTCTTCCCTTCTCACATCCTTTCCATTTCTGTTTTCTGTCCTTGGCAATAGAACTTAATATACTGGTACCAAACTTGCCTTCATTGATGCCAGCTGCTTCTCCTCTAGACTTTGTAGGTCACTTCAGAATTTGTTTTTTTGGCCTCACATGTCTGTAACTGCTCCAATTTTTATACCATTGGACAGCTTAAAATTACAATAGGAAAACTTGAACCGTTGAATATGGTAGAGATAGTCTGGAATGTTTTTTTTTTCTTTTTTTTCTTTTTTTTTTTTTCTCTTTTTCTCCACTTAGTGTTTTTCTGAGGGCCATTTTCATACTCCTTAGCATCCTGGATCACAGGGTCCATTAACCTAGTGATATTTTCAGTCACTTATAAGTGATAAGTAGCTGTTCAAATTGCTTCTGAAAACTTTGCTTCTGAAAGCCTTTATTATGTTTGATACAAGCATTTATATCATAACATCATTGCCCCACTGTTTTGTAGCAATGGTAACTGGTTTTGCTGACAACTGGAAAAAAATCAGACTAAAAGCACGGTTCTTCCTAAGACAGAATCTTAAGTTGTTAGTAGTTTGCTTTTGTGTCTTTTCTGAATAATACCAATTCATTAAATATAACGCTGAACATTTGTGACTAGTTTCCTCCCTTCTGATAATTTTTGCTCCAGCAATCCAAGGAATTGCACGCAGGACATGAAAACATAGATGATGCAAAGAAAATTCAGGGTAATGGAGAACAATAATATATTTTGTTTAAGGGCAAAATTATTTTAAAATGTTCTTCATTTGTTTCTAAAACAGGTCTGAAAAGCTGTAAGACTTCTCAGTAACAAAATTGATGCTTAAGTGGCCAACTGTATATGCTGTACAAAACTAGAGAATTATTGCTATGTAATTATCACTTATTATGATACTGGATTTGCAAAAGTCAGTTCATTTCCTCACCACCCCTTCTTCAAATGAAGCACACTATTGCATCATTTCACAGCCCACGGTTTGAAATTGAAAAGGAAAACTACACTGGAAGAATACAGACAGCTCTTTCCCATTATATGAATGGTGTATTTCTTAGTGGCTCTCATGAAAACATCAGTAACAAATTCCCAAAGAGAGATACCAGGTATCTTAGTCAAGTTTTAAATAATTATGGATGGCTTCAGCCATTGTAGAAGTTACAATTAAAAGTGTGGAAAAAAATCTTCTCATGTGGAAATGAGGTGGGACCAGCCTTTGGTCTTTGGGTTTTAAGTATGTCTGCTACATTGATTGTTTAAGATTTTTTTAATTTAATTTATAAAATACAGTTTGTTTTTCAGCATTAACTATAGAGCTGTATTTGACATTTCAGGAGCTTACAGGAGAAGTGATTTTGTTCTTGGATATTTATAGTTTGCAGAACTCTGGTGCTCTGAGAACTTTTTTGCACAGGTGGGGGAAAAAGACGGCAACTGTTCCATCAAATTGTTTCTAGGGTTGGTGCCGTTGCTTCTATAGGAGTTTCTTACCTGAGGTGATATGATAGGATTTTTCTGCTTCTTTCCTACTGTAGTACCCTGAC